TCTCCTGCGGTGCCTCCGAGGGGAAGTGCTCTCGGGCTAGGCTATGATCATTTATTTCCCCACCCTGCCAGCAGAGCAGGTCTGGAAGAAGGGGCATAAACGACTTTCTTGTAATTCCTCTGCAGAGATCGGTCCATAGCTGCCTCGGGCTCATTCTTCCCCACCCCCTTCCTTTCATTTCTAGCTGGTTAACTCCTTGGGGAGAAAGGGGAGGAAGGGATGCTTTGACCATCACTTGCTTGTCTTCAATGTGGATCTTAACAATTGTTCCAATTACTATTACAGGAGCAAAGGGGCCAGCTTATTTATTCCTTCAGGGAAACCTATTCACAGAGCAAGCACGGGACGCGATTAAAATTATCACGGGACCAATCACTTCTTGAATAAAGTTCTTTTCTGCTCTTGGAGGATGTGATAGGGCTTTTATTCCGAAATGAAATGAAACAAAAGGATTTTTTTTTAAAGTCTGAAAGACAAAGATGCTTTACACAATTTGAATTGAAGATAACAAAACCCAAATACAACAAATTGCACAAACAAAATAACACTGGTCATACAATACTCTATAAAGATACAAGTGTGCTAAGGCAACTGCACAAATTCTAATCACAGCTCTACTCTGCCTGGGCTGCGGGCTTCTGTACAGAAGGAATTATAAATAGTTCACGTCTAGAAAAAATACACATAACCTTTAAAATAGAATTTATCCTCACATATAAACAGTCTTTAATAGAAAAAAGGATATTAAAAAGTAAGAAAGTTTCATAGCACCAACCATTCATTTATTTTTATGAAGTGAATATGGCAAATAGAGTACCCAGATTTTAACTTAAAAAAAAAAAGTAGGGAGATTTAAAAAAATCAACAAACTCAGAATTGTAGAGAAATACAATGGAGAGGATGGAAGATGCCTGGGAGTGAAGCCTGCTAAGATTTGCTCCCTTCTGCATCCAGGAGAAGCACTACTGATGTCATCTCTTCCTAGCGACAATTGGGAAATTGGACCACCATTCAGATTTTCAATCAAAATGAGATGTTGAGAAACAGTGATGACCTCAACTCTCTGGCTTTTCTGCAGGCCCCACTTTTAGATTGAAACAGTATAACACAAATAATTTGAGGACCAGGGTGATGAATGTCACAAAATCCTTAGTTGGAGTTTTTAAAAAATATATTATCAACTTCTAAAACTTAATACATCATTTCAAGAGCATGGCGCCAACTCTTTTTATTGCTATCTTTCTCCCCCTACAAATATAATTTCTCTTCCCCCAGAATTTACAGCTTTTATACAAATACTCAAAAAAGTGCAAACATTGAGAATTCTCTATCATATTTTTCTTTTAATCCTCATGAAACACAGTAAGTATCGGTGATCCTTATCAATCCACTAGGGGAGTAAACTCTGGTGTGTTGGCTGCTGTCAGCTTCTCTGGAGTTAGTGCCCCCTGCATCCCCAGCTCTGTGTCCATTTTCCTAGTGCACCGTGTTCAGGTCGCACTGAGGGGTGCTCCTCTAGGCCTCATTGGAGCCTTGACTTGCACAAGAGGAGAAACTATCATACAAAGAGTCACTCAGAGACTCCACGTTGTTGTCTCCGCCAGGCCTAGCCGAGTTACTTGATGAAGCATCTATATTTTTGCCTTTCTCTTCCTTTTGTCCTTTAACCTTGCTTGGAGACTTCTCAGTTTCTAATAAAATCACAGTATTGCCGTTAAATTTATTGAACGACTCCGGGGAAATTTCAGATAATCTATTCTCAGGATCTTCTTTTGTTTCTTCAACTTGTTTCAGTTCCTGCAATAAAAAGGAGGAAAATATTAGAAACATAATTCTTTGGAAAAATCAATTTATCCTATCTGATATTCAATTATTGTCTGAATAAAGTACAGTTTAAAGGGATAGAGGGAACCTACAAGTCCTTAACAATCTTTCAGTGTAATTAAATGCAATAATAAAGCTAATTTTAGGGATAAATCAAGACTTTAATCATTTTACTGAGATAAATAGATCTCAATTTGCAAACCAGTTAAGTGCCACTTAATTCATTTTAAACGGATCCATTTGAAATTTGCTCAGGTAAGGTGTCGTATTTTTCTCTATCAAAAGTTCAAAGTCCTCTGTTTTCTTAATAAATATTCCTTACACTTTTTCTAAAAGGGATACAGATTGAGTTCCAGCCAGAAGTTATAGTCATTTGGGGGGAAAAAGAGCAGAAAATCCCTTAAATTGCCATAAAATTTAAGTACATATTAAGCTTGTTAAGAATATTGTCATATTTGAATTTTGTCCCTTTTAGGCACCTAAGATATTTGAAGGAGAGCTCTGAGTCATTGACTGCAGATTCCAGAAGGGCTAGAGGCATAAAAATCAAGTAATGGTACTATAGTTTAGTAACCCTTTCCTTCCAGAAGGTTCCAGACATACCAGTTTATTCCAGGGATTTATGGGATGTTCTTAATACTCCCCAGGACTTCATAAAATACTGCAGTTATACTAGGCAATTATTGTAGCTACCCTGTAAGCATGAGTATGTTCAGTTGCTCAAGTAGCTATTCAGGTTGTGGTGAGGACAAAGGGAGGCAGGGACATCAGAGGTAATGAGATGAGTGAAGATGGCTAAGTCTCGAAACCACTCTCCAGCAAGAAGTCAAAAGCCTTTCCTATAGCTATTGGGAAACACACAATGCGGCTAATTAACTCACTTTCCTAGAACACTAGATCAGAAATAAGCCTGGTGGTCACTTGGCTGTGCCTTCCCTGCACAGCAGAGAGCAACAATCTCATGTCAGGTTGACTGAGTGTAGGGCTTTTATTCTTTCTGTTGGTAGGACCTATCCCCTTACGTTAAAAAAGGACAAAAATATCCTCATGTTTGTTTTTCAATTTTGTTACTCAAATCTTCCATTTCAATGATCTGTCAGATTTTGAATACATGTAGTTCTGTCCACCACCCAACCCCATGGTTGGACTTTCAAATGCCATGGGGAAACTGATGGAGGCAGATGGATGCAGTCAAGACCTGTAGACTCTTAAATGCTAAGTACCCAACAGAAAGAAAAGAGATATGGAAGTGGGTGCCTTTAGTGTTCTAAGGGCTGCTGCTAGGGGGTTTTCTGGTAGAGAGTGGGGTCATTTCATGGGAAGATCTGGGCATCTGCTTTGAATTAGTGCTTATTTAATTACTCAGTGTGCTGAAGTATTACTTGTAGAACTGGTTTTCAATCTTCAACTGTTGCCTGGAAACCATGGTGAGGGGCTGATCCACAGATTTCTAGCTAAGCACAGACAATGATTAGGAAGAACTCAAGCAAGTGCTTTCTTGTGTCCTGCCAAGTTTTAAGCCTTTTTAATCCCTGCCCCCTAAATTACATGGCACAACATTAACAATGGATGGTGAGTAGGAAATGGCTTGGAGAGAGAGGATGTTTACCTCTATCATAAAATATGAGTATATTTTTACATTCAGGTGAATAAAGAGCCTTCAGTACAATTTCTCATCACCTCGACATGTTTGTTGCATTTTTTCACCTGTACCTGGTCTATGTGAATCTCCGAGTCATTCAACAAAAACTTACCAGAAAAACTACTCCAAGGCAGATGGAGGGTTTGGATGCTAAAGCTACATGGTAAAACAGGTTAATTAGAGGCCCTGGAGGGAGACAACCTGGGCTTCTGTGTCAGCTAGACCATTTTCCTGGCTGTGAGCGCTATGTACATCCTTCTTTAGGTGTGATGGTGACAGGTGGGCCTTATTTAAGCACTTAGGGAAATCTAGAAACACGGCACCTTACAGCTCTAGCCACATAGCAGCTGTTCCATGCACATTTTCTTCAGTGGCACAGTGGATGGTAAGTGCTGCTTTAATCACATGATTCCCCCTGTGTCTGTGAACAACCCTAAGGAAACTCATTAGGACACCACACACACACACACACACACACACACACACACACACACATCTTATCAATCCTTATCAAAGTGGTTCTCAGAGTTCACTCTCCAGACTAGTAGCAACCATTGGAACAACAAGGAGCTTGTTGGAAATGCAATTTCATGGTGTTTGCCCAGACCTGCTACATCAGAATTCTGGGACCTTGCCACCTGTTCTAAACAAGCTCAAACTCACAGTGTGATTCTGACACATGCTCAGTATGCAATATATACATGTACTGGCTGGTTTTATGTCAATTTGACACAAGCTAGAGCCATCACAGAAGAAGGAACCTCCATTGAAAAAATGCCTTCATAAGATCAAGCTGTAAGCAAGCCTATAGGGTATTTTCTTAATTAGTGATTGATGTGGTGGGCCAGCCTGTCGAGGATAGTGCCATTCCTGGTTTGGCAGACCTGGGTTCTGTAAGAAAGCAAGTTGGGCAAACCAGGCTGAGCAAGCCAGTAAACAGCACCCATCTATGGCCTCTGCATCAGCTCCTGCCTCTAGGTTCCTGTGTTGTGTCAGTTCCTGTCCTGGTTTCCTTTAATGAAGAACAGTGATATGGAAGTGTAGGTTGAACAAGCCTGTTCCTTCCCAACTTGATTTGGTGACAGTGTTTTCTCACAGTAATAGTAACCATGACTAAGACAATACAACTATTCAAGCTTTAAAATAAAAGAGTTGATCTATCATATATCTCTAGAATCTACCTAAATTTTGTGTCTATCAACAGTCTGTCTATCTGACTGACTGACTCTGGCCACCCTGGTTATGGAGAGAAAGTCCGTTATAAGGAAAGTTCACTCTCATTGTGGAGTGAATGAAATGTGAGTTCACACCATTTCTTGGTTCCACACCATTGGTGCAAATGACAAGAAGGGCCACTCTTCATCTGGCCTCATAATGGGAGCCTCAGGAAGAAGCTCCTATAAACAACCCCTTACACACACTCCTGTTAATAACCCTGAGAAAAACTCATCGGTTCACCCAGTTAGACTGCAGTGCATCCATTCCTTTGGTCTGTCCCTATCGAGGGTGAGTAGACATGTGTGTGTTCTGTCTCCCTAGAAAAAAGTCTCCCAGCTAATATCTATCTGCCCCTCCCCTTGCCACCCGTTTTCTCCATAAGGCTTAGCCAGATACTAAGCTGTCCATGTTTTTTCTCAGTTTCCTTCTAGAATCTCAAACTAAGTTGTCCATGTTTTCTCAGTTTCCTTCCAGAATCTCAAGTTGCTTTGGAGATTGTTACTTCTTACCTCTGCCCAGGAACATATGGAAGTAGGCTGGTAACTATCTTTGTCAGATATCATGTATTTACAAATGTTTGAAGCCATGTTGACTTTAAATTTAAATAGAAGTGATCAAGGTCAACTGGTAATGTGTTAATAATGATCTACCTGGCATATGGTAACAAAATAGTGTGACTGTCACACACTAACCACAGCTCACATTAACTGGGGTAGACACTAAGGACATTGAAGGGATTATCTAGTTTGTTTTCCAGTTATGATTATTTGCCTTTCCTTGTCTTTTATTCATTTGTTTTTATAATCTTTTTGTATACATGATGTGTGTATATGTATGTATGATTGTGTGTATGAGAGAGAGAGAGAGAGAGAGAGAGAGAGAGAGAGAGAGATTAGGTGTACACATGCCACAGTGGGCATATAAAGTAAGAGGACTACCTTGTACCTTGGGTGCTAGCTCTGCCTTCTAGCTCTCTGGAGACAAGGCCTCTTTGTTTCTCACTGCTGTGTACACTAGGGCTGCCGTCTCACAAGCTTGTGCAGCCTGCCCTATCTCAGGTTCCCATTTCACCATAGAAGTGCTGGCGTTACAGACATGCTCTACCTTGTCTGGCTTTATATAGGCTCTGGGGATTCGAACACACATTCTCAAGCTTGCATAGAAACACTTTACCCATGGCACCATTTCTCTAGCTCTGTTGGTTTGTTTATTTGTTTGAGGTCTCAAAGTGTAACCTAGTTGGGCCTGGGAGTAACTATATAGACCAGGTTGACCTCAAACTTGCTATAATTCTACTCACTCAATGCTGACATTGCAGCAATGAGCATGGTTCCCAAATTACTTCTATGTGAAGGCTGTCATTAGCATCTCTATTTATAGCCATGAGTCTTGAGGAAGTTCAGGAACTCATAGGGTCCTGCTGTAGTGCTATGTGAGTATTGCAATGTGCTTGCAGATCCCAGGCTCTTAACCTTTACCTTAAAAAAACACTTAACAAGTATCTGTCAATTGTGTCTTTAAGAGTAACACCTAAAATAAGAATGATAGGGCTGGGGATAGGATTTCATGTTTAAGAGCAAATACTGTTCTTACAGAAGACCAGAGTTCAGTTCCCAGCATCCATGTCAGGTGGTTTACAACAACCTATAACTGCAGCTCCTAGGGATCTGACATCCTCTTCTGGCCTCCTTGGAAACTGTATTCATGTGTGTATATGTACGCATAGATACTTTAAAATGCTATAATGCAAATAAAATAAGAATTACAGAAGAACAATAATGACTAGCCCAGCATAGACCAGTGTTCAACAGAATTTTGTCAGTTCCATAAAACATCCCATTCCTTCACATGTGTTGTATTTCACCAGAATTAAATAAAAATATTGTATTAAATTTGTCTCCTATAGGTGGCAACAGTTGTATGAGTGACTTTCTTGTTAGGGCTTTTTGTTGCACTTGGGGAAAAAAGTAAGCTAAACAGGCAACAGGATGACATGTTTTCAGGTTAGAAATGAGCATCTTTGCATACTTATATAGTATTTTCTTGTCTTTAGTGCAAACATAAACTTCTTAGTGATAATGCTAGCAAGGAACTGTGAGGTATGCTCCAAAAA